CAAAAGAGAATAAACTCCGTAGAAGGTGATAAAAAATTAATTTATGGCTTAATTGAAACAAACACAGAAATTAAGCTAAGCAAAACCGTGTAAAAACAAATTGAAATGATAAAACGAAACTTAATTTTAATGTGAATTTTCAGTGCTGACTCTCCCATTCTAGAAATTTCAATTTGTTTCAGACAAAGACCACATTTAAGGATTGCCATCCATCAATATCCAGTCTTTGTAGTCAGCTTGATGAAGCCACAGTTTATTGAAAATGCACTTTCCAGGCATCTCGTTCCTATTGGCGTCGGAAGGGTTGTGGCCTTCCAGGTTGGAATTGCTCTAGTTTTGGCAAATATTTTCAGAATCTCCCCCCTCCCTTTTTTTTTCTCGAGCACCTTCATCATCACTTTCGCCCTCTTAAAGAACTTCCAGCTTCACGCTTTCGTCACAGTCTGCCTAAATTTATGGATAACACCTGTTTCGAAAGATTGCGTGAATAGCCAATCAGACACCGATACTTTCGTTCGGGTAGCTAATTGTTTTTTTAATCGTTTGCAATGCAAATCCGCCAACAGATTAGTTAAGAGCTGTGTAATTTTAATTCCATATTCATGAGAAATCGTAATTCACACTTAGAATGGCAATCAATGAAATAAGAAATGTCAAATGAGCAAAATTAAGGACCGTTTATTCATTTTGACCAAAATTAAGGACTTTTAAGGACCAAAAATCATTTTTGAAAAATTTAAGGACTTTTAAGGACCGTACGAACCCTGTAGCTATATTTTCCCTCCATATGAACAGGCCACAATGTTTTAGAGCCACCTATTTGCTTCTTTGATTATCAGATCAACTTTAGAGAATGCACCTTTCTCATAAAACTTTTCTAGGCAATTGCGTACTTTTGTAAAGGCTGAGTTGCTCTGTCTACCATTTATGTAACATCAGTTCCTCTGACCAACAATAAATTAATCACTGTGATGTTACAAACAAAAATCTGACACCACTGAACCAGTTTTCAAAACGTATCCTTCTCCTTCAGTTACAACTTTTCACATTGCACCTCCAGATGCTTTCAACAGGGTTCGTAGCCACATTTTAGTTAAAAAAATAAGCACCTATAAGCACTTTTCAAGCACATTTTAAGGAAAAAATAAGCAACTGTCTAATTACATTACACACAACTGCATAACCTTAAAAGAAAAATTAGACTTGTAATTTAAAATATGAGCAATGCAATATTTATTAAGAGAATGAGCATTACCTCAACCATGGAAAACAATTAACTTTTTTTTTTAATTTTAAATGACAGTTTAATTTACAGAATTAGTTTACAATGAGAGAAAAAAAAACTATGCAGAACTAAACTATATTACAAGATTTAATGATGAAATTTCAGTTCAAAATATAGAAAAATAAATAATAAGCCATATTAATTGTATTCGTTTGGCACCTAATAATTAATACAATTTATTTTTCCACTCATGTTAATATTTAAATAATTTAACTTAAATAAAAATTCTGAACATTTTCTAAATTTTCATTGCATAACAATTTTCCTTTAACATATATTCCAAGCAAAGTAATTTAAGTAAAAAAGAGGCACAATTCTGAAATCAGAAGACGGGAAATTGTTTCATGCAGTCATCCTTTAACAGTAAAAGCTTAACTAACCCGCATCCTCAGAAATTGCCGATTATTCCGGATAGTAACTGGAAAAAGAGGAGTGGGGGAGATTGTAGCCGTTCTTTAGATTTCTTGGCTAAATAAATGATTTTGACATTTCGATATGTGCATCATATAAAAATAGACCAACAGACGTGAACTCAAAAATATTCTGCTTAGAAAGCACAGTAAAACTCTTTTAAGGTGTTCATAAACAAATCTCAGACTGAACATCGAAAATTAATTATCTCTCGCAAAATACCCCAAAAGTTATTGCGCAATATGTTATTGCGATAGTGCAATACGTTATTGCGCAATACGTGCGGCGTAATTCTTCCACATGTGATATTATGCAATCAGAATCAACAGCTGCCGGTATTCGGAGAATAAAGAACTAAATAAAGGAAAAGAAAGAGACTTACTAATCTGGTGTATTTCTGATTCTAATTTTCAACAGACTGCGTTAAATTTTCGGAATAGAATCAATTTTCGCTTGGGTTGGGTAGACCGCAAAAAAACTTTTAGTCCTATTCAATCCAGATTGGACAGTGACAAAAAAAAAGTCTGCTGCTTCAATATTAGAGATTTTGTGGAGAAAGGGGAGAACCTATCAACCTCCGTACTGTGTAATGTATAGGCAAAAAAGAAAAAATTATTTTGATTATTCGATTACTTTCCTTTTATTTAAGCCATTCCGAATATTATTCCTTAGAAACTAATCTGTGTAAAAGCACACCCATTTTTGGAAGTTTATCTATACTTCAGCAGTTACTGCAACTATATTATTATAAATATTCATGCATATGCTCAGCATAACGATCAAAATAAACATGAATATGAACTGACCACGCGGAACGAGAATGCAAATTATTAAAATCTTGATAGAAATCCAAACGTGTGTAGTATTTGGGTGGGAGGAAAAGAATACCGAATGTACCGGAATTTTCTACCGTTTTCGCAATTCTTTGACCAATAGAACAATGTGCACCTGTCTGTACTCTAGCGCACACCATAGGTTACGTTAATGCAGAGAAAGGGGGGAAAGCAATTTCCGGGAGTATGATTCACCATCTGACGTTGCATATAAGGATAGAAAAGTTGTTTATTTAGTTTTGGCTTTGGTACGGGAAAAAAATGCACGTTTATTAAAAAAAAAGAAAAAAGAAAAAGAAAAAGAAAAAAAAGGATTTTAAAAAAAAAGCACTAAAAGCAAAAAATAAGCACTACAAACAAAAAAATAAGGGCTTTAAAGAAAAAGTAAGCCTTTATATTTTATTTTCAAAATATAAGGACTTATAAGCACTTGTAAGGAGCGCTATGAACCCTGTTTCAAGATATGCAATTTTATCTGAATGTGAGGGATTGGATTGGATTGGATTATTCAGTTATGGCAAAGCACACGAGGGCTATCTGCCTAAGGGGAGGGATGCCTTTCGTGGAGGACTTTCTAAGGGAAACTGGCTCGTATACACGTTACACATGGGGAAAACCACGAAAACGCCCATGCAGCCAGCCCGTTCGCGGGATTCGAACCTCAGACCGAACTACCAGTGTTCAGCGTCTTTACCGCTCGGCCGCTGGTGGGCCCTGAATGTGAGGTAAAATAGGTCTTTCTTGGAGAAAGATTTGGCAAGGTTAACATTTATGAAAGAATAATAAAATACAATAATGCGTGGTTTACTCAGAGCTCTCCTCATCAACAGCAAAGCATAAATAATCGTTGCCAGACATTTGAAGATGGTTTGCATTGGAATTTACTGATAATCTTGATGCCATTAATAAGACCACAGCCATAATATTAAAGAAGTATTCAATAACATAAGAAAAATACAATATATACTTTTAACATTGTGCACCGCTAAGATGACATTCGTCCTATGCTGAGGCATATGAAATTGAATGGCATCCCAAGAAATTATTTTACACAATTTGCAGACACTCAACAACCTTACAGACATTCTGCCATATAAGTTTTTCAGCTATTAATTTAGCTAATGTTCATAATATACATGGGTTATGCAATATTCTCCTAAAGAATGCATCCAAGGCTGCGTCATCTTTTGTTCAGGAACAGGACAGTCTATTTGGTATGGTTATTATTACACTTTTAATGAGCATGAGAAATAATTCTAATTTTTCTCACCTCATTTTCCTCCCTAGTTAACGGGTTCCCGAACTTTTTCAGTACATGGTGCACTTACAGTTTGGTAATGTTTTTTTTTTTTTTTTATGGTGCTCTTGTTGCAATATTTCTACCATAATGATAATCAGGCATAGAAATAAAAACAACATTTTAGTGAAAAAATATAATAATTTTAATTGATCAGAAAACATACAAACAAAAGAAACCTTCAGTAACAAATTAGGCAATTTGTTACTGAAGTCTACTGTCACAAATTTTGTAACAAATTCTAATTTGTTACAAAATTTGTGACAGGTGAGCTTCTTGATACCCGTACAGTTTTTCAAATCGTGGAAGATGACTTGAGACTGCTATTCTAATTTTTTGCTCCACACTGATTTTTGAACGATATTTGATTTTTGTTAGAGCGATACCTGAAAACTAAGCTTCGTACAGATAGTACGTAGGTATGTATGTTGACACTGAAGTTTTGACACAAAATTTTTTCAGAAAGAACTTTTTCTTGTATCACTGCACAGGCATGGAACAGTCCAGATATGAAGAATATACTTAGGAAATAACTGTAAACTGGTAATACAGATGTATGTTGAAATTGTAATAGCTTCATCTTGCTGATAGATGTTATGATGTTAAAATGTTGATGGTCTATTACTAATATATACTACTAAATTAAACCAAAGGATCTGCATTTTAATATAAATATAAAACGTCTTTTAATAAAGAAAAAAATAATCCAAGGAAGACATTTTTAGTTTTATATGAATTCAAGCATTCACCATTATATTTGTAAAGCAGTTGAAATGCAAATAATTTACGCATAAATACACATTTTAATTCAGTTTATAACAATTCATAGAAAGTTTCTAATATAAATTTTAAAAAAAAGGTTAAAGAAAGTTATTACTCTGGAGGAAATAATTATATTATACAAATACTATTGCATTTAATTTTTTTTTTTTTTTTATTCTACTTTATGAGAAGTTTCCTGCAAAAATGAAGAGCCTAAAATACATATTAAAAGAAACAGCCACTGTCATTTATTGCTGCAAATTATGAAACATAGTCTGATTATTTCAGAAACAAACTAATATTTTTAACAATTAATAACAATATCTGCATTTTTTTTTTTTTTCAAAATAGTGAAGAGTAATATAAAACTTAAAATAATAAATTTTAAACTATTTTCATCATCCTTACTCACCAAAGCAGGGCTATTTTGATCTGGCCAGAATGACTCAGGTATTGGCCAATGGCCAACAGTGTATCCTTTCTGAGCCGATCTCTGAACATAAATCAGTTTACGGCATGACTGCCAAGATGTATTATTATTAGATCCATATAAGGGAGGACTGATTGTACCATTTTGATTCGGTGGATTTGGAAGATTAGGATGAACACTTGGTGAGGAAGGCTTGTGGCTAATTTTGTCTTCCATTAAAGATTCTAAAAAATACAAAAAATTCTTATATAAAATATCACTATAAGACTATTGAACAGTTTACAGTAAACACAGAGTATGACAGATAAAACCACCAGATAAGAAAAATGCATTCTTGTGCCTTTCAGCATTATGAAACAAATAAGAAAATTTTAAAACAATATATAATTATTGACTCATGTATGATTTAATACATCTTTTACTATTCTTTAAGCACAATAAAAAAATTTTACAATGTGTAACCAAAAACCATTACTTAATATTAACTCAAGATAAAAGATGACAAAGCTACAATTATGAGTAAATGCATAAAAATGTTAAATAAGTAGGCAGGTCATATTGATCTAATTTAATTTTTGCTTGATAGAAAAATGGCAATTATATTCAAGCCTAAAACATTTTAGCCAATTCTCATGAGACTAAACAGTAAAAATAGTAAGTAAACGTGCAAACATTTACAACTAATGAAAGTTATAATCAAATGATAGCATTTGAATTTTTAATACCAAATTCAAAATAAGTAAATAACTAAAAATAAAAATTTAGAAATATAGCTCTTTTATAACTTAGTGGTTTCTGATCAATTTTATATGCTATCTCAGTGGATGCTATATAAAATTTACATTTTTCAGATTTTTTTTTTTTTTTTTTTTTTTTTTTTTTTTGCTAGAAATCAGTTTTAAGAATAATTACGTCTGTTAATAAAAAAATTACCATCATAAATATATAATTTATTCTCTATGAAGATATAACTCACATTTTAATCTTAGCACAGAAATATAGTAAGAGAGGGAAAGTATAAATTTAAACTGATTTTGTACTTTAAACAAAAAAACTCTGGCTTGTGCAAAATTATTTGGTTTGTGCTTTTTATTGCTAAATATATGGACACAAAATCATTTGATTGCATCATTATTAAAGGTTAAAATTCTTATTTAATCTTACATTCACAATAATGAATTAAATTATGCGAGAATAATATACATTGGCAGAAAAATGCCTTCAACTTACACTAAAAACCTGATTTATATTTACGTTAAGTGTCAGTGTGTATTGTGTGAGAAAAATCACACAATACACACTGAAATCATTTTATCAAGGCTTGAATCTAGCATGAAACTACTTGCATTCAATGGAGTTTATCCCCTCAGTTATACACATAGTATTGTTATGTCAGATAAAATAGCCTGATCAACTATAAATGTACTTGATAGTAGAAAGATTTATGCTGTGTTTAGTCTTAACTACAAAATTGTGTTTCTGAAAATGCTCCCTATTTATGATTTTTTTAATAATACATTCAAATTAGAGCAAATGATGCAAAAACTTTAAAAAACTGATTTTCTCAAGACTAAACACAACTGGCAGAAAAGTAAATTTTACAGAGAGCTACAGAATGAAATTTAACTAAAATAATATATGCTGAAAATCAGTTATCACAAAAACTAGAATATTATGTATATTAATTTTAAAATAATATCATTATAATACAAGCTTTACAGTTCAAATACGCATATAAATTAAAAAAAAATTGCAAGATGCCAAATTTTATATATATATTTTTTTTTAAATACAATACCTTCAGTAGTAATAGGCGGAGGATCTGGTCCAATTTTTTCAAAGTTTATCACTACTCCTCCTTGAAGTTTCTGAACAAGAGATTCTAAGCACTGCATCAACATTCTTTGAGAGATAACAGCATATGAACGACCTGAAAAAAAAAATCATATAGATATGCTTTACAAATGCAATTAATGCTAATTAAGAGAATAAAAGTTATATACTATAGATTTTACCTCCAGTTACTTCACACATAGCATCTACAGGTGAATTATCAGGAGGGACGACAGAACTTGGTTCTCTTTCAGCAGGTGGAATGCCCGTTAATCTAAGTACAAGAGAAAACAATCGCTGATCCCATCGAAATGGCTCTTTGGTCAATTCTGAACCCGGTACTGATGAATGCATAGGAAGATTTAGCTAAAATAAAGTTTCATAATAAACATCAGCAGTCAAGATTTTACTGAAAATTAAGATAAAGATTATTAAACAACATTAAAAAATATTTACATAAATATGCAAGTTTATATTAAGTAACTAGACAAAAATTTAATCCAATATTATTCATTCTAAAAAATATTCTGAAAAAATATAATTCAAGCTCTCATTTTTGTTTCAAACAAGGTTTTATGGCACCATTTGTGAAATTATCACCAAAATAAAAGTTTCTATGCATTTGATGCATAATATTCTTTTACTGAAACATCCATGCATTTCTATTTAATCTATATGTTTCTATAGATGAAAATAAATCAGCCTATTTACATCTACAAAAGCCAGACAACAACAGCAGCTTTATTTAACACATTTCCTACCAAAAGGAAAATAAGTGAATCAACATGAAGCTTATTACATGCTTCATTCTAATGAGAACACATTTTTCTTTTTATATCTTGACTTTTCTCAAATGGACTAATTTATCAGTTTTGACAGCATTCAGAATTTAACACCTTCTATTAAGAAACTATATTATTTTCATTCCGAAAAATGAATTTTTTGCTTGGGTTGCTATAAATGAATTTAATATTTCTAATAAATTTCCACTGTAACATATGCTATCTGACATAAAAAAAAAAAAAAAAAAAAAAAAAAAAAAAAATACTATTATCAGAATGATGCCTTCTTCATGGCAGATCATAATAGATACTCCTTGTAATCAAATTAAATATGGAAAAAAACAACAAAAATACTCATGCAGCCAATCCATTCACCAAGTTTTGAACCTGGGTCAAAATAACAGCATTCAGTGATCTTATCTACTCAGGTATTTACGGAGAACAATAATATATTTCCCCCCTTCAGTTTGATAAACTCTTTTACATCACCCCTTTTTTCTTAATAACCTATTTCTAACTCCATATGAGCATCTTTGCATGAAATTCCATTACTGTAAACTAAACAGTCATTTATAGTTAAAAATGATATGGTAACCTTTTTTCTTCATTAGTAATAATACTGCCTTTTACTTGAAAAATAACTATAAGCACATGAATTCCATTATTGTGCTTATAGTTATTTTTCACTGTCCTTATAGTTACTTTGCATGAAATTCCATTACTGTAAACTATACAGTCAAAAATGATATGGTAACCATTTTTTCTTCATTAGTAATAATACTTACCTTTACTTGAAAAATAACTATAAGCACACGACTAACTTTTAAATGCTGTCCTCCCCATCCGAGGAGATAAATTGCCATCATCCAATACTTTTATCATTCCATAAATATTTTAAGTGCATATAATTCACCAATCACACAGTCAAGATGATAAACTAATATTTACTCACGTAACTTTACACTTACTAATTTACAATGGTTTAGTTAATACTTTGAGTACAATGAATAACAATTAATTACCTTCTAATTTGCCTTCGTTTCCCACACATATTCACATATATTTATGATTATTAACATTACTCAAAAGTTTACTTTTTAATGTTCACCCACAAAAGCTTGCTAAAATAGTTCCACCATTCTGTTTATAAAAGGTAGCATTTACTGTTAGCTACTTAAACATCTAAGGTCAATAAAAAAGGGCTACAATTTTTTTTTTTTTTTTTTTTTTTTTTGAATGCATTATTGAAAAAAATAAGGGATTGTGGACCTATTAATCATAGGGAAATTCTTCATAGATAAAGTTCTTCAGTACTACACAGAGCCTCTCCCAAAAAAATGAGGTTAAGAATTTATGTAAAATAATAGCTATTAGTAAGTCATACAAACTGACAGATTATTATATTTCTGATTATACTCAAAACTAAATTTTATGCAAAGTTTCTTTTTCTTAAATATTTAATAAGTTTTGTCTTCCTAGTAAAATATAGCCCACAGATACAATTATCAACAGGAAAGATTTTGAGTCTACAATATTCCTAAGAATTCTAAATAATCTGTCCACTCCAATATATAAAAATATGCTTTGGTAGATATTCTAAATTTGTAGTGGTGTACTTACGCCTCTACCTTGCCATCTAGTAGATTTATAATTCATACATCCAATACTTGATATCTGATAATGTGTAACAGGTATTATATATTCACATATCCTTAAGTTTTGTATATTACCTCTATAACACACAGCTACTAATTTTACATAAGAGAAGCAGATTTAAATAGTATATTCAATATAGCTAAATTTTGAAACAGTAATTATAGAAATTTTAATTATAACAAATTATTATGGAGAATAACTGGTCTGCAAAAGTTGAAAAGCATTTTTAAGACTAAGGCAAGTGTCATTTATTTCTGCAATCAAAAAGCGCTGACACGAGATAACTCTACAGAGAAGAAAAATAGAAATGTGGCAAGATTTACTATATTATGCATACACAGGATGTGGGGGAAAAAATCATTAGTGAAAAGAATAATCCCTAATATGTTTTAAATTATTTTAAATTTAAGCTTAATATTTACTTATAAATCATGAATATTAATTATTTTTCCCTATTCTTCAAAAAATTAATCAAAATGACATTTTTAATCAACAGTTTAAATATTTCTTAGCTACTATGTATAACACACAAAAGTTCAGATTCATAAAACCCATTAACATGTAAAACTGATGTTGGTACTTTTCCGTTTTGCCATCACAGACGATAAAGTCACCAATAATGGTACAACCCATGCCAAACGGAATATCCTCACTGGTAACATTTTATTCTTCATTTTCAAAACAATTTGCAGCCATTTCTTATCAGATTGATTGTTTCTTTCAATACTGGTATACAATTACATAGAATTTTTACCAGATAGTTCAATTTTATGCTCTAACGCCATTCGCGGGCGGTAATTAAGTGAATTAGGATGCAATCATACTGCTCACCCGATGGCGAAAATATAGAAAAGACAAAGTAAAGGGTTAAATTCATCAATTCTAATGAGAATGCACTAGCGAAGTAAAGCAGTGCGGTTTTACATAATTTCTGAGCAAGCTATTCGTACGAATTGAATTAATTCTTGCATTTAAACTTGTATTTCAAATTAAGTTTTAACTTGAATCAATGTAGATAATTACTGAGAGAATTAGATTTTTGTAGCGTAGTTTACGTGAGATGAGATCACTTGGGGTCACGTGATATGAACCACCGAATCAGGATGTGGTACCATGAAAGCATAGTAAATTCTCAAATTAATGTCTTTTACAAATTTATTGTTTTTATTTATTGGCTTTTTTTAAAAAATTTTAAACAACATTAAAATGTTTATCCCTTCAAAATAAGAAATTCTTAGAACTAACATTTGTCAACATTTTTTATGTGGTATACTGTGTGTTGTCGCCAATAAAGTCTGCTTGGCGAGATTTGCGCCAGCGAAACGGAAAAGTACCCTGATGTTTTACTAAAATTTTATTTCAATACCCCATGTATTGTCTACAGATTCACTGCTGACTTTGGTGAGAAACATTTATTTAATGTCTCATACAGAAATTGTCTACTTCAACTGCATCACGTGCTACGTATTTTTTATGCTCTTCTTTCCACAGTTAGGCATGCACACTTGTCAGAAGTAATTACATCAATTGATTGTTGTGCTAAGGAATTCCCAATTCTTCTTCACAGAATTTGACTGACATATATTCCGTTGCCCAATAACAAATACAGCAAACAGTTGCAGTAAAACAGATATGGCCCTCTTCAAGCTAGTTTCCAACCAGCATTCTAAAACTTTGCTCACAGTTTTTGATACAACATTTCCATGAAATCCAGCCATTAGAAGAAAAACTTCATAGAATGCTAATTTTCACATTTTTCATTATTCAGCAAAATGCCATACTTTTGAAGAAATCCAACATTTCTGTTTTTAATAGTCAGCAAACTTTATACTTTCATGACAATTTGTTATGATTGGGGAAAAAAAAAAAAAAAAAAAAAAAAAAAGGAGCATTTAAAAGGAAAACTAGAATGATCATAGAAATGGTTAAATTAGAAAAGCATAAATCTACATGTACTCAAACAAGCATGTGGTGTGCACACACATGTGGCTTTGTATTTTCCAGCATATGCCAAAAGCACAGCAATACTGAATGCTGATGTTGGGATGCAGATAATCAGAAAGTATCTTTATTTGCATATTCAAAAGCTAAACATATGACTTATAATAGAAATGCAATTGATGAAGAGAATTTGCTTTAGGCATTCTGAACACACATTAAATGAATTTTTATTTATTTATTTATTTTTATTTTATTTATTTATTTATTTCATTTTTATTTATTTATTTACTTACTTATTTATTTATTTATTTTTTTGGATTTTAGCCATATTAATGCAGGTAAAATGTAGTGTGAGTGAAAGGGGTGTGTTTATCATGTACTCACACAAACTACTCATGTTCTGATAATTCCTCAGTCAATATAAAACCAATGGTTAACCTTTCATAAGCGGAGTGAGTGCAAAACTTGGAGAGAGTTTTTATTTGGCACGATTTTGATTTGGTTATGGTTTCCAGCTGTATGTTTTCTTGTGGAAAACATAGAGCTCTATTTTGGTGATTGTAATGAGTGTGAGATTAGTGTAGCCAGAAGGTTTTTTTTTTTTTTTTCTTTTTGTAATTTAATTTTGAAATATTGTGTTTATTTTTAAAAGTTTTACTGTTTAATATTTGCAGGAGGTTAAGCTGTTTTTGATGGGAGAATGTTGGATTTCAGATGACATATAGTTTATAATTTTTAAATGTTTTCATTTAATTTGATTTAGGTAATGTTTTTTAAGGTCAGTTATTTTATTTATTTATTTTAGTTTTGGTTTTTGTATGTCACAACCGAGAGATGTGGAATGTTTAACGCGTTGAGCAAAATTGGATCAGTGTGTTGGATTCCACGATGATAGTAGCTTTTATATTTTACCGAGTTTATGATGCGCAGTTATTTTGTAGGCATGAAATTTTTTGATGCAAGTGAACAGACATTTGGTGTATTATTTTTGTATTTTTGTAGCAGTTTATTTTTGCATTTTTGTAATTTTTAGTTTCATGTTTGTGACTTGAATTTTTTGTAGTTTATTTTAGATTTATGTTTTAGTTTGTAGTAATTTATGTTTGTGTTGTGTTTAGCGTCATTTTCGTTTGGCTATGTTAGATTTTACATCGTCATTTCTTTTTGCAACTGCAAAATGAAACGGCGATGTAAAGTTCGACATCGGAAATGAAAAGAGTTTGGTGCCAACTTACTCTGCTTATGGAAGATTAGCCAAACCAGTAATATTTAAAATATTAAACACTAAATAATATAAATAATTTATGGTTTATAGTAAGTATTTCATTTATTTTAAAAAATTATCTAAAATTGAGAAGATTACTAAGTTATTGTTTAATATAATAACCATGGTAACACAATTAAAAACTCTAGTTAAGTACAATTTTTCACACAAAACTGTATACATGGTATTTTTTAAAACATGTGAACCAATAAATGTTTATTACTTGATGAAAGAGCATGAAAGTTATACATAATAGAAATACTTTCTTTGTATATACATCTTTAAAAAAATGCATAATAAGAACACAATTCTGGAAATAATATAATTTCAAATATTCAGTGAAAATATAAAATAATAAAAAAATTAACAGAATAACATACCTCTTCTTGCACACCAAGGGTGGTGGTTAGTTTTCCCCCATCTGTAATTACAATAATAATGGAAGGTTCTAAATAAAAAGGACATCGACCTTGACCATAAGTATCAATGCCAGTCTGCATTCTGTTAATGTTCAGCAAATCAAAAGCATATTTTAGAGCTGCACCAAGTGTAGTCATTCCTACAGACTGCAGGTTTTTTAACTCTGTCATAAAAGTAGCTAAACTTTCTTTCCATCCAGCCTAAATTTAAGAAAACAGAAAATCTATATTAGTGTATAATAACTATTTCAAGTAACTACTATACAATGCATACATTACTATTATATTCGGTTTACGGGAAAGTTCTGTCCATTTGTACGACAACAATTTTTGACATGTAAGCACATGTTTATTTGGCGCATGTTCGGTTTTCTATTTTTATCCCTTAATGTATACATACTGACATAACAAATTAACTAAAACTAAGTTGATTCACGTTAGTCTTAAGTGTGAAACAACAGTGTACCCATGGTTACTGATAAAGTTCATTTACGCCATGGTATTTTATATGAATTTCAACAAGGAAGAAATGCTACAGAAGCATGTAGAAAAAATTTATTGAAAGTGTTTGATGAAGGTACAGTTTTTGAAAGGACATGCAGAAAGATGGTTTGAAAATTTTCCAGTTGATTTCGGCCTTTCTGATAAACCACATTCTGGGCAACCATCTTTGATCAACGACAATGTTGTTAAGACCATGTTGGAGCAAGATCCTTTTCTGACAACATTGGAGATGACAGAAAGGCTTAATTCAGTCCAGCAAACAATTTCAGACCATATTCAAAAGATAAGATTGGTGTGAAATTATTCAAGATGAAGAACAATTTGGATGATCAAGTCATCATATGCACATCTCTGCTTGCTCAGAACAAAATCAAGCCCTTTTTGAACCGTATGATAACTGAGGATGAAAAGTGGATTACCTACAAAAACATCGGAAGGAAAAGGGCATATTGTGAGCCCAGAAAACCTAGCCCTTCCACCTCTAAGACAAATTTGAATCTGAATAAGAGAATATTGTGCATATGGTGGGACATTCGAGGACCAATATATTATGAGCTTTTAAAATCGAATGAAAAGCTCAATTCAAAGAAGTATTGTCAGGAATGGGATAATTCAATGACAGTCGTCCAAGAAAAGAGGCCAGTGATGTTCAATAGGAAGGACATTATACTGCATCATGATAATGTCAAGCCACATGCTGCTTTGGGGACTCGTCAAAAAATTGCAGAACTAGGCTGGGAATTTCTGTTGTATCCACTATATTCCCCGGACAAAGCACCCTCCGACTATCACTTGTTTCTGTCCTTATGACATTTTTTGAAGGGTAAAAAACTCAAAAATGAAGAAGATATCTAATAAGAACTGGTTCAATTTTCAATTTTGTTGTTAAGACCATGTTGGAGCAAGATCCTTTTCTGACAGCATCAGAAATGACAGAAAGGCTTAATTCAGTCCAGCAAACAATTTCAGACCTTATTCAAAAGATAAGATTGGTGTGGAAATATTCAAGAGAGAGAATAATTTAGACGATCAAGTCATCATATGCACATCTCTGCTTGCTCAGAACAAAATCAAGCCCTTTTTGAACCGTATGATAACTGGGGATGAAAAGTGAATTACTTACAAAAACATCGGAAGGAAAAGGGCATATTGCGAGCCCAGAAAACCTAGCCCTTCCACCTCTAAACCAAATTTGACTCTGAATAAGAGAATATTGTGCATATGGTGGGACATTCTAGGACCAATATATTACGAGCTTTTAAAATCGAACGAAAAGCTCAATTCAAAGAAGTATTGTCAGCAACTGGATAATTTAATGACAGCCGTCCAAGAAAAGAGGGCCAGTGATGTTCAATAGGAAGGACATTATACGGCATCATGATAACGTCAGGCCACATGCTGCTTTGGGGACTCGTCAAAAAATTGCAGAACTAGGCTGGGAATTACTGTTGTATACACCATATTTTCCGGACCTAGCACCCTCTGACTCTCACTTGTTTTTGTCCTTATGAAATTTTTTGAAGGGTAAAAAAGTCAAAAATGAAGAAGATATCTAATAAGTACTGGTTCAATTTTTCACATCAAAAGATACAACCTTTTTAAAAAATGGGATATCCAAATTGCCTTCAAGCTGGCAAGATGTCATTAACAATAACTGTAATTATATTAGTTAATAACGTTTATTGACGTTAAGAAAAATTTGTATTTTGTTTATTCCAAAAACAGATAGAACTTTGGATAGAACAGAACAGATAGAATATAACTTTGAACAGATAGTCATTTGGCCACTAGGCCATTACTGAATAGATCGAATACATAGCAGGGCCGACCAAACTTCATGTCAGTAAGAACTGCATGTTGCAATTTTGGAAAGTTCGATAAAGGCAACTAGATTTTCCAACAGCCACAAGTCCTTATTTACAGCATTTTAAAACTGAACAGGTTTCAAATGGAAAGAAATGCCTGATTTTAAATAATTATCGAATGATTATTTAGAATCAAGACATTTCTTCAGCATGTGCCTGCTTGTATTCAGCATGAGATGGACATTGGACAATTTTACTTTACCATATTTCATACATACCATTCACCTTATGGCCACCTGACATATAGTATACATACTTGTTGCTTGTCTGTTATTTTGTACATATAAAATTAGTATACAATGAGTATACAATAATTAGTATACAATTATAATAATAATTAGTATACAAAGAGCATGAAAGTTATACATAATAGAAATACTTTTAACTGATCACTACACGATAAGGGATTTGGTTAGGTTACATTATTTGAATACAGCAAAAGCAAATGAGAATTGTTTATCTAAGAGAAGGGATGCCTTTGTGGAGGAATTTCTAAGAGAAACTGACTCGTATTTATGTTACACATGCAGAAAAGCACACAAGTCTAGCACACAGAAAGTTCATTTGCCTGGGATCAAACTCCCAGCACTCTTAATCACTAAGCTACTGGTAGGGCTCTAGACAAATAATAATAATAAAAAAAACTAAACTATAATTTTCTCTCACAATATATTTGAAAGGTCTTACATTTTAAGAAATACTCTTTCTTTTTGGTCAATTTATCATAAAAATTATAAAATTGTTCAGAATATTTTTCAGTACAAATTAGCCTAGTGAATTAACAAATTTCTATACACAACATTCATACAGTTATACTAGACACAAATCTCCAAAATTTTAAACATTTAAGCTTTCACATACAAATATTTATGCACGAGATAGTTTTTCAAATTAAAATTTTAAAATGAAAAATAATTTTCCTAAGTTATTTGCACTGAGTATATAGTATGTTATAAGAGTGACTATAGATTGAGTTTTTTATTTGTAGATTTTATGTTTTAAATTTTGCAGTTTCATTACTTTCCTTGAAGTATTTAAAGAAAAATATACTTCGTAGAGGAAATGAAATGCTCTTCAAAATGTCTACTGCTCTTTTATCTTAAGAATCCTGTTTTAATAACATTAACCTTCTTACTATTTCATTAAATTTTTTTGATTATTTATCAAATATTTTTATTTAAATTGCATACATATTTATTATTGATTAAAACTAATTTAGTACCATTTATTTTCATATTTTATTTAATTTTAATACCTGAATATTTATTATTTTAGTTGTGGATTTCAATGATCATTCCTTATCAGCTGTTCAGTAATCCAGCACTTTTAATTTAAAAATTTACCCCTGGAATTTTAAAATTAAAGGAAGAAAGAACACAATTTAAACAACATGAAAACAGTAAAAAAGCACAAATTATAGCTTCATCACTGAAATATTGCTTCAAAACTGGCAGAAAAAACTTCTCGTTCTTTCACATGTGGGCCTTCTAATTATGATGTCATTGACCAGTTAGCTCATCATCATGTCTTTCAGATGGTGTTCACCGTGGCCTGTGAGGGATATTAAGCATAAGAGACAATAAAAGCTCAGTATTTCAACTGAATCTATTGCAAGTGCACTTGAATTTGTCACTTGATTGAATATTGTCAATTTGCTGTTGCAATGTGAAAAGTCAAGCAAACAATTCTGCAGACAACATCTAGGTGATTTTATCCAAAATCCAATCATTTGGATACAGGAAGTAGGTCACAATGATACTTGAAGAAATTAGTATTGAACCTAATATCATGTCACAAGTTTGGACTGCCTTTTGAATGACAGCAACAACGTTTACTTGGGTTAAGGTTTAATTGTCGTCATTCATAAATAACCATGGCAGTGGAGTACCAGTATCTGAATTTACAAATGAAGCGAGATCAAATGGAAATGGGGTGAAATTGCAAAACATGCAATGCGAGGGGCGGCTTAAGCCGACTGAGGACCACCTGGCAGTAAAATATTTGGGATCCTTAAGAAATTATTTACTTATCTAAATGCTTGAAATGCAATGGATGATTAAACCTAATTACTCTATATATTAGAAAAACTATGAGACTCAAAGTAAAGATATAAACATATTTTAAAAAAATGTTTAAAAAACAACAAAAGCACCAGAAAACTGAACAATGGCAAATTTATAAAAAGTAAAAATAAATAACAGAGGAATTCTTTACCATTAACATATAACGCTTCACATTACAGGAAATATTAGCATGATATCATTTACTTGAGATAGCTAATTTTACTAATGGGTACTTAATAAACATATGCCAATGCTTTTTTTTTGACACAAAATGAAAGCAAATAAGTATAGCAGTCTTGTGGTATCAAATGATCAAAAATTCATATACACATGTGTTTGACCAAAGCTAATGTGACCTTACTACTTCGCACATTATTAAATCATTATCTCAAAAACTATTAGCAACATATAAAATCAACAGAACTTTCTTTTCCTTCAGTCCAGTTCTTGATATAACAATATGAATATTAATGCTGGCTATACTTCATTGCAAAAATGTATCTTATAATACTTTACAGTGTAATTTCTAACCCGTCTTTAAAAAAAAATTTTTTTTTCTTTCAATTCAATTTCTGTCCTTTTTTTTTTCCCCCCTTCTTCTTCAGAAATTTTAAAAGTAGAACTTCTTTCCCATTTTCTGTCCCTTAAAGTATAATTTCTGCCTAATTTTTTTATCACTATTATATTTTTATCACTACAAAATGGCAGAAGATTACATCGAATGGTTATATGAAAAATGCTTCACATTTCATCTCCCTAACAAAAATTT